AAGGAAAATGTGTTGGATCAGAAAAAACCATGTCTTACTAGGATTTGTGCTGGATGAAAACCATCCTTTTCTCGAAGAAAAACAACAACAACGACAAAAGCATACATGTTTTTCGGACCCATAGGGTTTTCCTGGGCCGGCCCAGTTCCAAAATAACATCCCTGCACTAGGCAAAAGGCCGCATCGGAGAAGAAGAACATCTTTATCTTTGCTGGGGGCATGATGCCACCTTTTCCAGAGAGAACATGATGGTGTGGGATCAAACGGCGCATCTTGACCGGGCCAGTTCGCTAGAAACCAGGTTGGTTCTCGGCTCTAGGGTCTACCTACACCTTGACGGCACCTTGATTGCACCTTCCTCAAACCTACATGGAAAACTATACGCGACATCGACAGAATCGACCCATATGACCCACGTGCACAACTGCAGAGGCATTCCAGCAGCCTTCGCCGCAGACTGTTTCCCTGAAGGAACAAAGTCAGGAGCCAAGTCTTCATCTCAAATGAATTTTTAAAGAGGAAAGCTGGGTGACCCTTCTGAAGCCCGGCAAATGCCCACACGTTTTGTTGAGTCTTGGAACACACAACAGCCCAGAACAATCGCTAATTCAGCCTTTTAACTCCCACGCTGCTCACAACGATCCCGAGCTATGTTGGAGCTAAGAGGTGGTCTACACTTTAGGGTCAGGTTGGGCCCTGCATTGCGGGGCTGACAAGTTCTAGGATTTCGAGTTCTAGGCAGGATTTGGGATGTTGCGCCTAGTGTAGATGACTGGACCACTTCGAGCTTTCCTTGTCTGCACCATTTCAAGAACGTTGCAGGTTCAGCAGCGCCATGATACAAAACGAGGCAAGTCCAAGAAACCGCCCTCACAAACCTGAAACTCAGTTTTGTCTTGATTTCAGGCGGAATGTTGCCCACCGCTCTCTGCAATGGCGTAATCCTACATCCATCATTCTAGCGCCGCTGCGCACACATGGTGAGTGAGAATGGACAGAGGGCTGCATGACAACACTAATTACGATCCTCAAGCTCAAAAAATCTTAGGGTAGAGCCTCTCCACTATGGTTGTGCATCGGGCACTGCTGCAGGAAGAAGTGGCTGGGCAACAACCCCTCAGGTTTCCTCACCGGAACTCCCGCAAAGAAATCGAGGCCCGAAGCATGGAGGATCAGGATGGTTTTGGTGCTGGTCGAAGCTACCCCCCTCAACCTGAAACCCTGAAACCCTAGAAGCAGACTAGTTCTGAAAACTCCGAGCCCTGACTCCTGACAACCTCACCACACCAAGTCCGGACCATACCCCCCCCCCTTGCCCTGAACATCGTGTCTTGCCGGAAGACTCACAGGAAAACTGAAGGGGCTCGCCACGGGGCTCCACTCGAGAGTGGATCACACCATGATTGCAGTCCTTGCGCTCGCCTCAGCCCGGAGGATGCAAAGCGAGCTCAATGGGGCGTTTCCGACACTAGGGGTCTATGTGGAGGTCCATATTAGGGGTCCCTTTATTTTTGTAAACCCGCACTTCGGTTCCGCTGCATGATTCAGGACATGTCGATGGCCATTGCACAAGCGAGGCGTGCGCATTGTCGTTTCGCACATTTGGTTCAGGCGCAAAGTGCCACAACAAGGCGAGGTAAGACTCCAACAGGCTCTAGGACCTCTCAGAACCAACAAGCTTGGGAAATTCCATTAAGGCCCCCGGGGCTCCAGACATGCCCGCGTTACGTGAGACCGATGCACCGCTTTGGGAGACGTCGATGGGCGAAAGAAGCTCGGATCGCTGCGTTGGTGCTTTGATGCGGCTGATGGCTTGCAAGATGTGCAACGGAAAATTCCGCGTCACCCCCAACAACTGCTACAAACGGGACCTCTGCACAGTGATGAGGTGCCGTGGGTGTCACAGTACAAGTGAACACCTCCAACACTTGAGAGATGAACCTTTGCGCAACATGAGTGCTTGAAGTGGACAGCCTCTTGCCAGGCCGAGAAAGCTGCGTTTCTTTTTGTGTTTTCTTGTTTCTGGTCATGCCCCATCTCTGGCAGCTGGTAGCAGTCCGCAGCAGCTTGCTTTCTCATCTGCACCCTGGCACACCCTTCATTCCGCGATTCGGGGTGATTTGCACATGATGTGCACTGGCCATGCGCTTGTCCCTTGGCTTAACCGAAAAGACCCGGTCTTTCACAACGCCCAAATCTGAATCCAAGCCCTGACCATGTTTTCGGCTGCGCTGGGGAGTCGGGCTGTAGTGTTGTATGTCCTGTATGTCTTGTATGCCCTTGTCTGTCCTTACATGTACGGGTCTTGTATCGTTTGGGACCCTGGGAGCCACCACACTTCACCGGCCGAGCGACGGGGGTATCGTTGGATTGGAGCAAAGCGCTTCTGCAGTCACGGTTGAAGATGACGGCCTGAGTCTCGAGGATCACGGCGGGGCTAAGAACGCCCAAAGTGCACAAAAACCCCAAGGACAGCTTGAACAACTCAGGAAGAACAGCTCCGTACTCAAAAGCCAAGCGCTAAGCGACTGAAGACTATAAATGGGATTTCAATGGTTTGCACCATCAAACGAGGGCTTGCAGGGCTTGGAGAGATCCCTGAGCAACGATAGAAGCTTTCACACGGAAGGCGCCATTGAAACCCTCAAACCCGTGTTCACGAAGACCTTCAAAGGCGCTCCAGCACATGGACAGACTAATTCTCGATGCGCGATGAGTTGCCTGAATTGCAATGAGACCTTTGGGCTTTGGGTGTGCATTTTGAGCTTGAAGCTCATTGCTGACAAAAGCTGACTTGCTGGCGGGCTTGGGCCGTATCCTGGGCTGTAAGGTAAAACAGTGCGAGTTCAGGATTCACGGTGCAGGGTTTGGATGTTTCAGGGTTTGGCCAAATGCTCTTTCCCCAATCTGAGAGCAATAAGGCTCTGGCTGGTGGCAAAAGGCTTGTGAAGAGCTTTGCAAAAGCCTTGCAGGGTAAGGCGAGCTTAACAGCTCGGCTTTTTTTGGCTGAAGCCTGAGTTGTCTCTTGAAGCCGTGCGAACCCGGCTGTTTCTCACAAGGAATACGTGATGAGAGCTGCGCACCTTGCATTACCTTCCAAGCATGTCGTTCGGATCAGGTGTGCGATCAACAGCAGCAGAGCATGGCAACAAAACCAACTGTCAAGGCCTTGATTGAACGGTTTTTGTCGTTGCGTTTGTTGCGTGGCTGTCTTGGTGATCTTTGTTGTGAAGGTTACGCGTTGAAGCTTGACAGGCTCTGGTCAAGCCTACTCCATCTGCTCCAATGTGTTTGCTTTTGCTGAACATCTACGGAAGGTGGCCTCTCTGGACTCAGCACAAGTCATAAGCTGCTGGGCTGGATGTTCCATGCTGCTGAAACTCAAGTACCTTTGCAACTGGCTGCCTGTGCTTTCAGCGGTCGCAGAACGAAAGCGTGTGCTTCAATCTTCGTGCGCCTGACAAGCCGAGAATCCCAAAAGCCCTCCACACCCGACCCTTGCTCTGTAGTGACCATAGACCCTCTTCCTGAAACTCCGGATCCAACAGGAGAATCCTCCCGAAAGCTCTCCTCCAAACCCTCGAGCCCTAAGTCCGAGCCCACGCGCCTCTGCGCCACCAAGGTCGGAACATTTTGCACGCGCAAACCGTTCCACCACCTGATTCAAGGGCTCCAAACCAAAGCCCTTCTAGTGGCACCCTTGCAGCAGTCCTCTTGAAAGCACAGCTCGCCAACTCAGTCTTGCCAGAAGCCTCCCCTGGGCCCTGGGCACACATCAGCTGCCGCGTGGGCAATCGCACCTGAGGGCTGCGACAATCAGGGGGTTTGGAGTTCGTGCGTTTTCCTATTTGCTCGTCGTCTTCAGTGGTTCCGGGCTGCCGTGTTTTAGTTTAGCATCTTGGCTTTGAATCTTGCGCAGATGATGCGCTGTGAAGCGTTTCGGGGGCTTTCTGAAGGGATGGCTCCAGAGCTTGGGGTTTGGAAACCTGCGTCTCCCCATCTAGCTTCATCTTGGCTCCTGCTCCCAGGTCCGACATCCTGTTGAGGCGCTGGGCTCACGGCCAATCCACTCATCAAAAGGCGGTGAAAGAGGTCGATACCTCGGTGCCGCCAGGGATTTCAGGGCAAGCAAGACGAAGACGCAGCTAGACTCCCAACACCGCCTGGGCACGCGGCTTAAGCTGTGCAGCGGCGGCACCTCTTTCACTTTCACTTTCAGGAGCCGGTCTGGAGTTGGGGGAGTGCTCGGCTTTGGTTTTTCGTTTCTGGGCTCGGCAGATTCCCTGGAGGCTTGCAGAGTTCAACGAGGGCTTCACAGTCTAAACTTGCCAAAATGGTTCGCCTCAAAATGGACAGCCTCACATGTTTAACGCCCGAGAAGCTGAAATACCTGCCTCTTGGGAACCGTCGTTCATATCCTCATCTTGGCTCCCGAAGGCCTCCCATACCTCGAAGCATCGAGGCTAAATACTCAGTAGGGCCGGCAGGGCTTTTGGGTGCAGGAAGAGGTTGAGGTAAGGAAACTCGACCTTACATGCTTGGTTTGCTTACATGCTTTGCCAGCATCCGTCGAGCTTGAAAGTGCCGGGTGCGTTCCGCGACATTCTTGACCTTCAATTCCTTTTTGCAAAGCACGATACCTAAACTAAAAATTTCGGACCTACGATTTGGCTTGGAGACTTGGCTTGGCGGTGGAAACCTCAGTAGATTGACGAGATAGTCCTCGAAGTGGGTCGCACAATTCCCTTCGCGCTTTAGGGTTGAGCCAGCTTTTGCAGGCGGGCCCTTCTACAGAACCAGGCTTTGGAACGAGGAGCATCTGCTTTATGTGTAGGGCTAAGGCCCAAGTCTCGGCTCTTTCACTCGTTGGGGCCTCAAGGCGTCATCTCAAGATCCTCCAGATGTTGCAACAAAGGAGGCTCTCCGACATCCACACCAGCGCATGGTTTCTACGCTTCCTTCCAAGTCCCCAAGCCTCCATGTCAACCTCTGCAAGGCGCCTTGACCCCGGCCAACTCGGCGAAGTGCTCCAAGTGAAATTCGAAGCAGGCGGCCTCCCATAGGTTATCACAGTCCCATGTAGGGCGGGGGGGGGGGGGTCTTACTCTCATGAACAACAACATAACCTTTTCGCTGCAAGGGTTCGGGAACTTCTGCGAGAACTGAACCATAAGAAATCACAAAACCCGAAACATGTTGGAGGCACACAAAAGCACAGTTCCGCAACCGCAGCCCCAGAGTACACACAAAGCCATGGAAAGGATTCGGGCTCAGGGCTAGAGTTGAGCCTTCATGTCGTTTCACACGTGTGCTTATGGTACTAATGCACCTCCTTTGCCAGCTTTACATTCAACATATCTCATTCCATCATATGTAGTGTGCTATGTTTCTTGACTTTCCACCTTTGCGTAGATATCACATCTCACAAGACCACGCCCGTGCCAAAGGAGCTAAACTCAGGATGCCAGAACTGCAAAACCGCTTAGACTTTGCGATGAGCTTTGCACGGCCGGCAGATAGCTCAGGAAGCAGAGGCTTGTGCCAAAATCACATAGAGACACGCAAAGCCCTAAACTCCGAACCCAAACCCGACGCAGTACAGCCACAAACATCGCCAGGCCTCAACATCCTCGGCATCATCACATCCATCCACTTCCTGCAAAAGCATCTCGGGGCTTTGGAGGCAGTTTCGAGGCAGCCACTGCTTGGACACACTTGGACCGCATCAGCAAGTCTGCAGCCGATGTCCGTGCGTGTGCAAGTGCGTGTTCTTGGTGTGGGCGTGTGGTGGTGCCCTCATGCGTGCACGTGCGTGCGAGTGCAAGCGTGCGTGGGTGCGCAGGAGCGCGTGTGCTCTTACGAATTCATACGCACATGATGTATGCGCGTCTTTGCGCGTGCCATGCGCGCGCCAGTGTGTCTCGGTGCACATGTGTGAGTGGCGTGAGTGGTGTTTGGTGTGTGAGTGGTGTGTGTGGTGTGAGTGGTGTGTGTGGTGTGTGTGGTGTGTGTGTGTGGTGTGCGTGGTGTTGTGTGGTGTGCGTGGTGTGTGTGGTGTGTGTGGTGTTTGTGGTGTGTGTGGTGTGTGTGGTGTGTGTGGTGTGTGTGGTGTGTGTGGTGTGTGTTGTGTGTGTGGTGTGTGTGTGTGTGTGTGTGTGTGTGTGTGTGTGTGTGTGTGTGTGTGTGTGTCTCTGTGTCTCTGTGTCTCTGTGTGTGTGTGTGTGTGTGTGTGTGTGGTGTGTGTGTGTGTGTGTGTGTGTGTGTGTGTGTGTGTGTGTGTGTGTGTGTGTGTGTGTGTGTGTGTGTGTGGTGTGTGTGTGTGTGTGTGTGTGTGTGTGTGTGTGTGTGTGTGTGTGTGTGTGTGTGTGTGTGTGTGTGTGTGTGTGTGTGTGTGTGTGTGTGTGTGTGTGTGTGTGTGTGTGTGTGTGTGTGTGTGTTTCTGTGCTTGTCTGTTGCCGTGTTTCTGTGTTTGTCCGTTCCTGTGTTTGTGTGTGCACTTACGCAGTTTCAGGTTGGCCCAGAAGCACAAGTCACAAGGGGGAGTCGATGATGCCAAGCCCATACTGTCAAGCGCAGTGTCTGGTCACCCTAAGCCTTGAAACACTGTTTTCACCCCTCACCCACTTTCCCAATGTTGAATCACCCTTGAAAACAAGCACCTGCAAAAATGCCGCGCAGATGGAGCCTGCAGGCCTAAGGCCCGAAGCCTGGACATCCCCCTCAGCCCCGAACCCCAAACTCTGTTTCGAGATCGAAAGCCTTGAAAAGTCCTTCTCAAGCTCAAATTTCGGCAGGCCTGGTGCTTCAACAGCGGCTCAGACTCCACAAAAGCCCAGAGGGCCGGGGCGGTGGCCACCTGCTTAGAAAGGCTGCGCGAAAAAAAGTAAAGAAGAAGACGACCGAAAAAACCTTCCCATCGCAGCTTATAGGAGCCGCCCACAAAAGTAGCGCCCTCTGCTCTCGGAGCCATCCCCAGCCTTCAGGTTTGCGGCGATCCACTCGCGCACGTGGTGGAGCCTCAGAGGAGGCAGGTAACAGGGGGGTGTAGCATGGGGCGTTTCTGGGTACCCTCCACGGTGGAGTTCAAAGCCGACTTTCAGGAACACTGGGGGGGGGGGGGGGGGGGGCCGGTACATGGTGCAAAGATTCTGAAGCTTCAACGCGCGACGAGGTGCTCGGAAGGCTCTCACAGTTGCCCCCCTTCGCTGGGTTTCCTGCAGCGATGGCACCCCGAAGAAGGCGGCGCAATCCACAGCCACGCGCAAGTCCTGAGGCTTGGCCTTGACGAGCGGGCTTTGGGCGGGCATTGGGGGGGATGGTTCTGGGATGCTTTGAGTCGGTGGTGTTGCTCTTGTTGCTCTTGTTGCTCTTGCTGCTCTCGTTGCTCTTGTTGCTCTTGCTGCTCTTGCTGCTCTTGCTGCTCTTGTTGCTCTTGTGGCTCGTGCTTTGTTGCTCGTGCTGCTCTTGTTGCTCGTGCTGCTCTTGTTGCTCCTCTTGCTCTTGTTGTTGCTGTTGTTGTTGGTGCTGTTTGGTGTTGTTGCTGTTGGTGTTGGTGCTGTTTGGCATCGTTGCTGTTGTTGTTGGTGTTGTCCCTTTTGCTGTTGCTGTTGCTGTTGCTGTTGCTGTTGTTGTTGCTGTTGCTGTTGCTGTTGCTGTTGCTGTTGCTGGTGTTGGTGTTGGTGTTGGTGTTGTCCCGTTTGCTGTTGCTTGTTGCCGTTGCCGTTACCGTTGCCGTTGCTGTTCCGGTTCCGCTTGCGGTTGCGCTTGCGGTTGCGCTTGCGGTTGCGGTTGCAGTTGCTGATGCGGTTGCATGGTACTTCTCGCTCCGCTTGGGGAAAGAGGGAGAGAGTCAGGGTGGGCGAGGAAAAGAGTCTGTGGTGGCTTGGACCTTGAAGTGGTGGATTGCTTAGAGTATTCTTAGGAAAGACTGACAAACCTCCAACATGTCTAAAGATGCCACATACAGGGTCTAGTAGCGGGGCCTGGTACCCCAGTCCTCTCAAGCCGCAACCCTCTACCCACTGCGGTGGCGCACCACAAAGGTGCCACCATGTAGGAACTCAACAAGCCTTGCCATCTGGTCCTCGGTCGCTTTCGGGTTAAAGGGGGACACAGACAATCTTCCGGCTTGGAGGCTGTCAGTTTCTGCATGTGACGGCAGGATGTTACAGGAGGGGGTTGAGCTGTTTTTTGGCTCTCGGGGTGGAGCTCAGGCGAGCATTCTGTATGCAAAATACGGGTGCGAGTGCCTTGGGAAACATTAGGCGTGGAGGCACTTGGAGGGATCTCTGGACAGAAGATCTGACTGAAATTGGACTATAACAATTCAGGGCTTGCCAGGACCTTCCTGGGTCTGGGGTGTATCGGGTGCGTGGCTTAGAAGCAGGCTTGGGACTTCAAAGCTTTGCTAGTGTTGGTGGGGCCTTCCACCCCACTGAACCACGACCCCAAATTGCCCCAATTTGCCCCAAATCGCCCCGAATTGCCCCGAACTGCCCCAGGTATCGCATCTCCGGCGATCTGTGAGCCCGGCCCGCGGCCAGTAAACCGTGACAGCGGATCCAGACGCGGCATGGCCTGGGCCAACACGCACAGAGGGGCCAAACACTCGTCAGAACGTTTTCTGGTTTCTTCAATGCAACGCGAAGACCTGTCCTAAAGCCCTACCCTCAACCCAAATCGCCCCACTCGCTCACTGACCCACTTCTTTTCTCGAGCAGCGTTCGATCCTGCACTGGGGCCCACAGGGGCGGCTGGATTTTGGAGCCTCTGGTGTGTAAACAAGTGTTTCTTCGAACGGATGCCTGCCCCAAGAGCCCCAAGCAAGCTAAGGGTCCAGGCGAGTAAATCTAAGAGTCGGAAATTGTTCAAGGTGTAAGGCTCACGGTGCCCGACACCCGAAACGTAGCGCCACTGCCGAAGATCTTCTTGGTCTGGTGGCTTTGCACGCTGTCACAGCAGTGGTCTACAACTTTTCACAGAGGCTACCAGGGCCTCCAGGGCCAGCACTGCTGCCCAAGAACGAATGCACAATTCAAACAGCCAGCCAACAATCGGATACGAGCATTAAATCATCTAGCGCCAGCACTTATCTAGCTTAGATCCCTCCAGATGTGTTGCCAGAGGCCTGGGCTGAACGTTGAGGATTCGGAGGCTCTTTTGCAGGGCAGCTTGCAGCCAACATTAAAGACCAAAGCCTAAGCTGGAGCTTTTGGCGTTCAGGGCTTGGGGTTCGCTGACAAACGGTCTGACCGTGCTGAAAACGATTGGCTTCTGAGGCGCAGGGGGCCTACTGGGACTTGGTCGCACAACCGTACAGACTGCAATAGCTGCCTGTTGCACAAGGCTCAGAAGAATGCTCGGCAGATTCCTGGGTGGTGCGTTTAGGGCTTAGCAACCAGGCCATGCGATGTCAGAACTGGTGTCGGAGGACTATGAACATCTCCTCTTTACCAAGACGACCGCACAGGCAGCCAAGCTTTAAAAGCACGCTGCGCCCTGATCCCCTAAGGCCCTAAGAGCTCAGCGCCTGAGATGGGGACCTTCAAGGCGCAACTTTTTGAAATGCCAAGCGTCACTCGCCGAAGGGGAAGCACTCTTCCGACTTTCCCAGGAATGGGCATTTCAGCGTGTACATCTCCTCGAACCTTGACAGGCTTAACTCTAACTAGCTCAGGGCATCTCAGGATTGACGGTCGTCTATCGCCTGTCCCTTTTGGCTTCCCTCGACTCAACCTCTTCTTCCGGCCTCGCTTGACAGTGCGCGCGGATGTCGTGTGGAAAATTCGGTAGGACCTGATTCGCAGCAGGCAGGCGCTGTCAAGCTGAGACATCCTCGAGAGTGAATGAAAACGATTGGGTTTGTGGGGATGGCTAAGGATTTCCTGAGGATCAATCGAGGCTCAACTGAGGATCGATGGTCGGTTGAGTTCAAGCCCTAAGTCCGGCTTCGCTTCAACGGACTCCTTGCGGCCCACAGCCCGGGCATGTCGAACCGGGGAGCAACTTCCTCTGACTCAAGCCCTGTGAAGTTCGGAACCTAAACGATGCAGCACTTGCAGTTCGTGGACTTTGCAAGGAAGGCTTCGAAAAAAAAAGAGACCTTTGAAGTCCAGAAAGTTCGAAGGTTTGGTGCCCCGCAAGAAACCCGAAACGCACAAAGCCGGCGTCGAAGACAGCCGATGCCTCCGATTTTTCGGCAAGTGTCGCCGAACTCCCTTGGGGCCCTAATATGGGGTTTTGGGGGTTCTTATGGCATTTCTGCGGGGACCATAAGGGAATTTCATTAATAAGTATACCGACCCTCTATTACTTTGCTGAACTGAGCATCCCGAACGCCGAGCTCTTCGAGACCCTCAAGGCGCTCCCTCAAAAGGTTAGAGAAGCTCAGGCAGTTGATGGGGGTTAGGTTGGGATAGCGCGGGGCTTGGGGCATTAGAGTTCCGAACCCTGTTAGGATGCCCGTCGGACAGGACGTCCGTCCGATAGTCTGGAGACCCAACGGGCTTTGGGAAGCTGAGGAGGTGGGTTTAGGGTTTCGACACATGAGGCCGCTTGAAGTCCCAGTTCTCAAGAGCTCAGGAGCAATCGTCCCCGGCCTGCTGCCAGTTGTTTAAGTACATGTACGACCAGGCAAGATTGAGGATGATCGCCAGCATGTTCCTGAAGCAAAAGAATAGTCCCTAAACCCTAAACCCTAAACCCTGAAGAGTGTCAGCTGCAGAAAAACAAGCAACCACGCCCTTCTCGGCAAAATCAAAGACGCGCTGCCCGTCACCGTGCCATGGAAATTCTTCCCGACTCCACGATCGATTCTTTCTTGCTGGCGAGGCTCAAGAGAAGCGACATGCTTGACTCGTTCCTGGGATGTTTATGCAGGGGTTCTGAAGCCTGGCACGGCTGTCGATACTGGAATTCTCAATACGATCGGGGAAATAGACTTATAAAGTTACTTGTGGTCCACCCCATGCTTGTGGGGGGCGCGACCTTCGCATGCCCCGCACTTCCTTATGCTCCGGAACCTGACTCCAGGCCCAGGTGCTCCATGCCCTCCGCTTTGTTCGACGTCTCCTCTTGGAGCAGGGAAGTTCGTCTGAAAAAACTGGGTTTTCACGCCCGAGTTTGCCCGATTCCTGCGATCCCTGCCAGTCAACCTCCCTGCACTTGGCGGATCGCCTTCTTCGGATGAGCAATCTTCGTTCGCTCGATGAAGCTGCCTCGCCGAGCTGTGATTAGATGACGGCTTTTTCAGGCCCAGGGCGTGAGGGTACGGTCGTCTAGACCTTCGGAGGTAAGGCCCGAGTCCAAGCTCTGGGGTTTTGGTTGAGGATGCGTTGGGATTGAAAATCAGGTCGCCAAGCCCCTGTCACTTCATAAAACACACCAAAGTTGCACACACACTCGCGCATAGCACAGGACGATGCCGTTTTCACAAAGCCACGGCTCCCGCAGAGTTTCGCCTACCGAGAGCCCCAGGAACTGCTTTGTGCCAATACTACATCTTTCAGCGAACATGCACGCGCGCAAAAAGCAACATACAAGTGCGGACCATCTTCATCGCAGGTAAGTTTTGTAGCGTTAGAAAGCTTAGGGTCCTCCCACCTCCCCCTGTCCTGGCCTGCTCAATCTCATGCGAGCAAGCTTGTGGCAAAGCTCTTGGGGAACTGATGTGGCTGAACTTCGAGGCTCTTGGGCGTCTTGGGAATGTCATGGAAGGCTCCGCAGAACGCCCACCGATTACACTTGCTGGCAGCTTTGACCGTCTTAAGGTTCAAAGATGAACCGAACAGCTGTCGGAAGAGCGACTCTGGTTCGCACGTTTGGTCCTGGATTTCATTCTCCGAAGCATCTCATGCGTCTCGTCGATTGCATCTTCATGTCTTCCGTCTGTCCAGGAAGAACTGAAATGTTTCTGCAAACCTTCGTCGTAGCCTCTGTTGGTGAGAACGACCCGTTGCGTCTCCTTCAATCACGACTGCTTTCAAAATCCTTGCATGATAGCAAGAAGCTCGGCAATGTACCCATTGATAACGAAGTGTGCTGCTTGCTGCTATGCAGAGCTGAATGCAAGCAACACTGCAAAAGCAAACAAGTATTCAATTCCGTCTCAAACTTCCGGATCTCCTCTCTTTGACAAGCTTTGAAGTCTTAACCCTTCTCATGCCACGCCACGGTTTTTGCTTGTTCAGCACAAGGTGGGCCCAGCAAACTGCTCAAGTTGCTGTTTACTGGCACATGCGACCCTGACTCAGAATGTCTGCGACTTCGCAAATGCATAGTT